GAAACAGATGCAGAATGCTAATTTTAACAAGCAGCCAGCTTCTGAAGCTCCAGAACATCCAATTTAATGTTTTATCCCATCTCCTAACACCTTGTAAGGGTTTTGTTCAACGGAGCCCTTCTGTCAAATTGAGAGTAATTGTCCTTTTTGTTTTACAGGCACCCACTAAAAGTAAGATGCTAATAGAATTTAGAGATTTCACAGATATTTAATTGGAGATAAAAGCATTTTCAGGGAAAAAACTATTACTGTTGGGTTTCCAGTGTATGCTAGAGATTTGTATATGGGAAACGTGCTGCAAATTCCGTGAGTTCCTAAACTAATTCTGTCTCATGGCTTTAAAAGTCCATGTTCTTTTTGTGTTCAGCTTGTTAAAGTTAATAATTCAGAACTTCCAGATTTCATAATTCAGAATTTCAGGCCCTCTTGTTGAGTTACATACCAAAGAATAAAACTTCAAATTTTAGAGTTTATACAAATGAAGTTAGGGTGAATATACACGAGTGCACCCTTCACAACCCATAGCTGGTATAAGACCCACCAAACTGTGGGTCTGCCCCGTCTTTAATGGTTACTTCACTTTGAGCGTGTTACAAAGAACATGTGCAGCCACCTGTGAGTTTTGTTTTTAGCATCACTTCCCAATTCTTTTATTAGAATTAACTTTACAAAATTTGCCTTAGTGAACTCTTCACAATGCAAATCGTTGAGATTTGCGTGGAAATCTACAGACAGAGACAACTTATTATACTCCTTACCAGTTTCACATTTTATCTATAACACCCTCAGAAGTTTTCTGACTTCAGTCAGAAAGTGGCATTGAGTGCAAAGAGACTTGGTAAATGTGTCTGTATTCATTATGCCACTATTCCATACTAGTGCTTTGGAGTAAAATCCAGGTCATTTACCAGATGCACATCTGGGATCTTCACGAGTAGACCACAAATGAAAGCGAAATGAAGTTTCCTCTGCTCTTTTCTCGGCCAGAGTGTTCTGGTTTTCTATGTCTGTTACCCATTTGAATAGTGGAAGTAATGATTCCTGGCTTCCTTTTGAATTGCTTGCAGAAATACACGTGAAAACATAGAGAAGTTATTGTTGTGTTACACTTCTTACCATTTTCCCCAGCTTTATTGCATTACAATTTCTCTGCAACCTGTCTGTGCCTGTTGAGAGTTATCTGAACAGTGCGCATGTGCACCCTGCATGGCCTCTTTGCCCAGGGCCTCCGTGTGCAGCCTGATCATCGAATGTAAATGTTGGGAATGTTTTCACACCTGCCAGCTGTGTCACAAATTACTGCCATTTCCCTGGAGCAAATGGAAACTTAACAAACTATGCCGCAATAAAAGAAATAATTGAAGCTGGATGAGCTTTAGATATAAGTTTCATATTAGTCTCGAACTCTCAGGAAAACTTTGGTTTGAGAGAATGAATGTGGTTTCTGCCAAGTACAATCCTTGCTCTGTGGTTTATTTGAGAATATTATCTACAATATTTGAGTTTTGCCTTAGACATAGGAATGCATCTAAATTAATTTAGAACAGAGGTGAAAGATGATTAATATTTTGAGATAATCAAAACTTGCTTCTAAATAATTTACCTGGGAGATCTCTCTGGAGATTTTTCTAATTATGTTTGTGCCAAAATATAGTAAATAAATAAATAAATAAATAAAATTCCTGTTTTGTTACTATCAGAAATGACAGGAGAAAAGTGTACTTGATAGTCATGTCAGGAACAATAGCCTGATGAGATTTTTGTGTATTTAATAACAAATTGCCTAGTGTGTGCAGGTTTAATGATGATGGTAGCTTTTAGTCTTCCAACCAAATGTGAGGACCGTTACTCTGAAACCAAATAGAGCGGATTTCAGCAAGTAATTTCCTCTTAGTTATAATGTTAAAGAAAAATGACTGAATCGGAGAATGCCAGGGGGAAAGTTGTATAATCACCTCTGTTTTGCTATCATCTCTGAAATTTCTCATGTCTTCAAGGATTTGCACTCTTTAATGTCCGTGGTCCCATAAAGTACTTTTAATTATTAATGTGGTTTTTCATATGTTACTTCACTAAACACCAAAGCACATCTGGCAGACCCAGTTCTTGAATTGTTAAAGGTGCCAGCTTGCCAGTGGCACTGGAGTGGTGTACTGGCTAATAAACCCTTCCTGGACTGAATTTCCTTGGAAGGCTCAAATGGCCTCATCACTGCTGCAGTTAAAATCATCTGGCGAGCAGCTGTGCAAGCCTCCCCAGAAACTCTGTGAATGTCTCGGTTGCATCCAGCCCTGTCTCAGTTCTCTTTAGGTGCAAGATGTTATGTGCACAATGTTTTAAGGGGAAGAAGGCTGAAGTGGCCTTGCTGCCTTGTCTTCTGCCTTATTTTTTTAGCATTAAGACTGAGATGTTCTTGTTCTTTTAACAGCTGTAAAAATGATACCATCAATTAAATTCTTACAAGCTGCCTGTAATTTCTAATTCAAATAAATATTCTTCGCTGAAGGATCACTTTGCTCACACTGAAGTATGGTTTATTCGTTGAGTAGTCCCACTACTCATCAGAAGTTAATGTGGCAAAACAACGTGTCATACAGCTCTGCAGCATGCATTAGCATGATGTAAAATACCTGTGCTAAATCTGTTCTGGTAAAGCTTTTAGTTTAGGCTATGTATTTTGACTGAGGGTTTCAGAGCACTTTTGTCATATCAACAAAACGTTGATATGATTTAATGAGCTTAAACCGCTTTTGCAGCTGTTTCTATTGCTGCTTACAAAAGTAAATTTCCTGTTTCCTTGTAGTTAGTAGCTGACATGGTACATTGAATATATTCTCAGTAACAATAAAGCTGCTTTATACCACGTTATTGAATACAGATGAAAATTACCAATTTGCTGGGCTCTGATATTTTATCTGTTTAAATACAATGTAAAGGTCAAAACCTAATCTGAGGTCTAGACTGGAACCGTTCTGATAAGACCTGAGTTTCTAAGTGCTTCTCTGAATCTACTCCCAAATACATTTAGCAAATAATTTAGTTTGAATTTTGTGGAATGTCCCAAGTGTCTACATATCCAGGTAACACAGACTTTGGTCTACTGAAAAATAGTTACTCAGACATCAGTGTGCAAAAATACCTTTTCTTTGCTTTGATCCCCCTTTTTCTCACAGTTCTTTACTATGTAATTTATATTTGTGCTCACTTCACTGCTTTAGTAACCTACTGCTACATCACCTTTTAAGCTTTGAAAACAGTGGATTGGTATCAATGCTGGTGAAGGAGCGCTCGCTGAGAATGAAAGTAACCTGTTAAAATTTAATGTCTCCCAGACATCCTCTGTAACCAGTCGATGGTACAATTCATCTCCTCTGAAAAGGCATTGTGTGATTTCTGTTTTTGAGTTAGATGAGTGCCAGGAACCATCCTGCCATGACTGGAGAAGCTCCTCTGGGTGCACATGGGAAAGTGTTGTTGCAGCAGAGCCTGGGTTGCTACCAGGGAGCGATGGGACTGTGGAGATACCAGGGACAAGCATTGCCACCCATTTTGCTTTTTGTGACTTGATAGATCACACAGGTCAGCGCAAGCTGCCAGGGCTGTCCCATCTCTCCGGTGTGGGAGCAGCTGCCTCTTAGGCTGTGCTTACAGGCATGATGTTACTCCGTGTCCTCTGAAGGTCCCTGGAGGGTAACTGCTGGAATGGGATCATTGGAATATAACAGAGACTTTAAGAAACTTCATTCTTCACAATTTAGGCAGTTAGTGTTAAAACAGTTAAATCAGGTAAATAGTCTTCTCTTAAAAAATTCTGAGTTACTGATCTGAAAAATTCATATATTATACCCTCTTGCAGTGCTTCTTCTGATTCCCCTTTAATTTTGTATTTTTGGATGCGTATGCATGCAGACAATTTGTGACGTGGGCTGTCTGTGCTGCATGGGCCATTCATTGTCATTGAACCAGGGTTTGAACAGTGGGGAGGGTTTGTTATGGGGCTACTTAAAATTCATTTGCAAAACTGCATTTTCTGTTACCGCTGTTACGACAAATGTTTTGTTTTCTGATGTTATGCTTAGATCCAGCTCTGATGCTAACAGTTAGTGGCACTGATAATGCTCAGCCTCCCGCTGTTACAGGTGGGGAGGGCCACAGGGGTCCGGTCACCACACGAGCACTGGTGACCGTCTCAGCCCTGCAGCCCAGGGCAGGCTCACCTTTTCAGTCAGGAAGGCGTGGATGTGAGCTCTTAGGTGGTTGTGCCAAAACTGCTAGAGCCGTACAGTTCAGCCACAGAGAGAGTGTATCTTGGAATATGTTTGGAAGTGCTGGAGGCCCTATATATAATCTCTGTGGTTTACTTCTTAGAGATGAGGTAAAGCTGTGTGGTGGCTTTGCTCGGGCAACCTGGTGCTGTTTTCATTTCGTTTCCTCTGAAAGAGAAGCGTGTGGGTGTCACATAGGCTGGAGTGTCCTGGGTGCAGAACTATAGTCTGGCTTTTCAGAAAATATTGTAACGCACATCTTCCCATCTTCAGCCACAAGGCACTGTAACTTTCAGGACAAGCTGAATAAGTGTTGGAGTTTTTAGAGTATTTAGAAGTTTCTCGAACTTCAAAGAAGTTTTTATAAGATGTTAAAATATTTTTGAAAGGTATGTTAACCAACCTTAAGCCATGCCTACCTTCTGTTATTTATGAACTTCAGTAGTTATAAAACAGACCACTGCTTCTGTCTCTATTTAAGTACATGCGGTTTTTCGCTCTCTTGTTTCCAAACCTCTGGTCATTTTTCTTACTGGACCTCTCAGGTGTCACTGAGAGGTATTTTGGGGGGAAGCAGAGGGGATGCTCCATAACAAACTCAGTTATGAGGAAGCCACACAGCAAGTTTTGTTCGTGATGATCCGTTTACCAACATTGCATTTTAATCCTTTACTAACTTCATGAGATGTGTAGAAATACAGAAACATGCAAGTTGCTTTGATTTTTGCCTTCCAGGGCACACCAGCAAGTCGAGTCCGATACAAAGTGGATGTTGTCCAGTTTCCTTACAGTGCCAGCATTTTTGATGTGGATGAAAACTCGGGACATGTAGTAACCCGAGTAAACCTAAATGAAGAGCCAAGTACAGTGTTTAAGGTATGAACTTACGTAGCTATATATTGTCAGTAAATGTTCCCTGCATTTGATGGAATTCCTTTTGCCTTCGTGTTTCTCTGTGTTGCTTTATATTGCATAGAAAGATGTGAAATTTTTATTTTGTTTGTTTCATTACTTCCTTAATTTCTTCCTGGCACGTGTTTTGTGCCTTTGATTTCAGAAACTTCTTGAATGGATGTGATTGCTACTGTTAGGAGGGCAGAAGAAACAGGGAGGCAGCTGAAGGAAGCCTCAGTTTTTGAAAGTTACCTTGCTGATCATTTTGTTTTCAACAGGGCTGGCAGCGTAGGAATTTTATGAGAACTTTGTAAGAATGGCAAGATATCTTGTAAAGAAACTTACTGCACAGTGGGATAGTTTGGGACTTCCCGTTCGCAAGTGCTGTAATGTAAAAACATTGGCTTGAAGGAGACTTAAATTACTGTTATGTTGTTACTGTTTCTGAAGAGTCTCAAGTGTAGTGTGGAGTAAGTTATGATTTTAAACAAAATCATTGGGACAGATCTTCCCTCCTGTGAGTGGAAGGAATAGTTAAAAATGAAAATTAAAGTGTGTCAGTAAGCAAAAAAACAAAAAAAAAGTTATAAAATGTGGGGGTTTATATGTAGTTTCCCTACTTGGAAAATGCCCAGCTTCTGGATGGTCATTAAGGTTTGTTTTGTTTCTGCTTTCAGTTATTTATTTTTGAAATGAGGATTAAAGAGAGGTTTATTTCCACACTTTTCCATTATAAGGAATAAAGCTGTCCACTGTTTTCCGCTTCCGAGTGTCACGTCAAGCACTACTGTGAGCTTGAGTAGTGTTGAAATGCTGTCGCTGTTGTAGGAGCTTAGGACAGTAATACTTTGAGTTCTTTTCAGCTTGTAACTAACATAATAAAAGGCAAAGGGGAGGAGAATTATCTCCTGGTTAACATCACCAGATTGTAGCTTTTCTGTTGTTGCACTTTTTATTCTTACTTCTTACTAGTTATTTAGTGTGGCTGTTTTCTGAAGCTCTGATACATAACCCGCAGGTGATGCGCACATGGACATGGAGTTACGTTTCCGTATGAAGCCTGCTCTGTATTAGGGCAAACCAGTGGTACGCTTAGCAGAGTATTGCTTTTCAGAAAATACAGTTGCTTAGGAAAGAAACACAGAAAAGACTCCAGAAATCAGTCATGTGGAGACCTTAAGTTGGTATTTGCATTTAGACCATTGGGCTTATATCTGTCACTGAATCTTCTGTGAATTTTTTCAGTCAGTTTTTAATGCACTCACACTTTCTGTAATTACAGTGTCTTGCACCGATGAGTCCCCTAATATATTAGCTGAAAAAAATGTCTTCTTTTGTTTTAAGTTGTCTCTTCACCAACCTGTTCTGAGAATAGTTTGGACTGGCAGAAATTAGTTGAAAACCCTTTGCCAGAATGAGGTGCTGACCTGCTCCATCTAGTGACCTCCTGAAATAAGGACAAATTTAGAGACAGAGGAAACTGGAAAACTGTCCATGACTCCATCTTCAGTGGGTTGGTCTCTCATCCTTTTGCTCGCAGATAGCTTACCTTCTTAAGAAAGCTGGAAACAGGTGAATCTATTTGTCCCAGCAGACAAGCACAGATTAAATAAACAAATAGACAAGAGTAAAGATGAGATAAGTAAAAGATTTATAATAGGCTGCCTTTGGAGAAGGTCTTCTGCTCTTGTCTGTGTTTCAGCATACAGAAGATCTCTTTTCTAAGAGGATTTTTTTGTTTTGATATCATACCTCGATTTTAAATATTAGTGTCAGCAACACAATTCTTACCTAGCACTTTCTCTGTTTTATTGGGAGTTATAGGTGGTTTTTCAATAAAAAATATTCCACTGCATAAATGTAGAATTGAACTATATACCATTAAAGAAGTTGAAGTTGTTACTGGAGTTCTGAGTAAGGACAGTCTGTGATTGGATGCAAAAGGAATCCCCTGAAAAAATACTTGAAGCTGGCAATGTGTATTGAGCGGTATTTGTAGAAGACTGTTGTACGTGAATTCCAGTTTACTGTGTTTCTGTAACGAACAGGTGGTTCGACTTGTGGATGGCTGTCACCTTTTTCCTCTGTTTTGTTCTTACACAATGTATGATTTGCAGTGAAAAAAAATCTCATCCAGCTTGTTAGACCTGAAAATAAAAGAATTATTGTTGCAAGCCAATGTAAAAATCATTCTTGCCTGTACTAAGAGAGTGATTTTATGTATTGTTTATAGCTAGTGGTCGTTGCATATGATGATGGGGATCCTGTGAAGTTCAACACCACTACAGTAGAAATTGCTGTGCTGCAGCCTTCAGTAATTCCACGGTTTACGCAGGATGAATACAGGTAAACCATTTATTCATTTGCATTACAAGTGCTGTTTTTTAAGTTGAAATAAGTTCCTGTTTGAATGCTAATCTGAGATACATGAGCTACAAAAATACTCGTCAGTGTGGAAGTGCTTCCCCTGCATATATCTCAACTTTTGTACCTTCTGCCATACACTTCAGCTCACAAAAGGAAATAAGACACATAAATAAGGGTTTGAATGGAAGCACCGAAAACCTACTTAGAGCTGATAACATGTTTACTGATGTTAACTCTTCTTTAGGAAATAAATTGGATTCTGCTCTGAGGGGAGAGCAGTTAGCGCTCAAGTCCACCAGAAGCACCACTGTGTGAAATTACATGCAGGACTGTTTTGCAGCACTCCGGTTTGACAAAGTGAGAGTGGCAAAATATTTTAGAGTTGCTTCCTTATTTAGCAGCCAGCTATTCCTTAATCATATCAGATAGTCGTGCAATTTTACCATCTTAACAGGTTATCTCCAACTGAAAAGACCTGGGCTGTAGGTGACAATGACAGTGAGGAGAGGTGTGTTTGAAATTATCCTGTCAGAAGCTGTTGAAAGTGTCGGTCGTATGGATAAACGAAAAAATTTGTGCATTGAAATTGTAGCCGGGATCACTAGGGCTCTAGGTTAAGTTTCCTCCAGTCTGTGTGAGTGTGTTTTGGTCCTGTACTCTCTTTATATGGGACATGAGAAAATTCACACTTGACCTCTTTGACATTAAAAGTGCAGATGATAGTTATTATTACTACAGAGTCATGATTTGAATTTTACCCTCTGACAATTTAATAATATCAACCCCATTTTCTTAAAATTAAGTAAAACAAACAACCAAAAAACAACAACCAAAAAACAAAAAAAAACCACACCAAAAAAAGAAACAAAATACCGTGGTGCACAGGCTGATTAGTTTGTTAAATTTTGTTACAGAAAATGTGTTCATAAACAGTTTCTGGCATCTGTATAGTAATAGGACGTAATAGGATCAATGCATTCAGCCTCCTGATATCAAGAAGTTACAGCCTTGATGCAATATTTGCTCTTTATCCCTAGCAGAGTATAATGGGGTTTGTACATGTGTTTTTAAAACTGAGTACTGCAGGAAATCAGAAATTGAATGGAACGTGGGCTTCAGTAGACCCTAATGAGAGGAATTGCTCAGCTATGTTAAGGAGTTTAGGCAAAAATTGATGATGTGCATTCTGGTTTTCCTCATGATTAGGATATTAGCATTTTGAAGGAATACCTTAAAGAAAATGCAGAATATATAGATATCTTCAAATGTATGAAGGGTAGTTTAGGTAATGTAGCAACAGGTAGACCTTTAAAAATGTTTCCATTTGTTTCCATAATTTCATATATTGTGTGAATATGTACAAATTATTAATAATATTTAAAGCCTTTCTGTAATAGACAACCTTCTGTGTTACTATTTTCAAGAAAAAAATTGAACAGGTACTGTTTGTGTAGCTGTGAAGAAAAAAATGTGTATTTAGGTTTAACAGAAAGACATGAAAATATGATAATTATGAGACCTTTCCAAAATATTCTACATTTTGGGTAAATTACAAAAGCTAATTTACCTGCCCTTAGTAGCCAGCCAGGTGGCTGGAGCTGCAAAAGAGACTCCTCACTGCTAGGGGTGTACTTCGTAATACACTTTGTTTCCTTTTTCTTTTATAACTTTGTTCTGAATGACCTTCACCTTTAAAGAGCTTGTCCTTGAATCGTAACTGGTGACAGATGTGATCCCGAGCAGTGTGTTTTGGGAGAGGCTACAATGCAGCCTCAGTGCTAGACAAATTGGACTGAGCCTAGCACGAGTCTGGCCTCAGGAATACTTGGAGCACAGTGTGGTCCACCTCTGCGGTGTAAAAGAGGTGTCTTGCAGTTCTCATGTCAACCAACTCAGCGTCTGTGTTTGCAGGATCGTGAGGAGAGATAAGGTTCAGGAGTACAGGCAGAGTTTGCGTTGCCTTCTGAAAAATGAACTGAGCTCACGCTTCCTGAGGCCACAGTAAGCTCCGCTTTTATCCCAGGAGATGGAACTTTATTTCATGACAATGAGGAAAGCTTACAGTAAAAAGTGGCTGATATCCCCTAATACCCTTAGGTGACAGCTGAATAACCTGAGTTATCTTCTCCTCCTTGCGAACTGATCAGGATTAGCTGAATAGCCTAGTTTCTCTTTCCAAAGACATAGTGCTGCTCCACTCTTGGTAAATTCTTTGGTGCACACTGTCGTAAAAAACTCTTAAAATCTATTGGGGGCAGCAAGGGCAGTTACTTGTTTTCTTCAACATCAGAAATTAAATTAAACCAATCTCATAACTTTCTGATTCAGTTCTGAGATGTGCAAACATTTTGAAGCAGGACTAATTTTGATTCCTAAGGTTTTCAGGGATTGTCATACTCTGCAAACTGCACTTTGTGTTTGCTTTCTTGACAGTGATGCAAGCTGAAACTGACAGGTTTCATATAACCTTATCTTTCAGTTGACATAGTATATCTTTAGGGTGAATGTCAGCACAGAGTAATGGTGCTGCTTGCAAAATGATAAACTGTTGGATGTGGACACTAGAATTTCTGAAGGATTGAGAATTAATGGCTTTAGAGTGGATTAGTATTGATCTTTGCTTGCATAATTGTCATAATATGGATGATTCCAGCATTGTTTTCTAGCTGTTTTACAAACTACATTTCTGTGTATTTAGGAGAAGGTCACAGCTGAACAGTTTTACAGAATAAAGCTGCCCATGCAGTTGCAGCGTGTATTACAAATCAGAAATAAATACAAAAAAAAAAAAAGCGAGGGGGCCAGATGGCATGATCAAAAAAGAATAGCCACATTAGGCAGATAGGGACATAAAAGTGCAACCTTAAGCTGTTGGTTTGGCAGCTCTGTGCTCTGTCAGAAGTACACTAGCACATTGGGGTCTCTGCTTGGATCCTGTTCGTATTAAGGGAGGCTTTGATTGATTATCCATGTCTGAAAGTGACTTCCCCAGGAAGCAGCAGTCAAGTAGATAAGAGTCAGAGATTTGCATTTTATTCACTGGCTTATTCCATAATTTGGGGCAAATTAATTAGTCTCTTTTTTCCTCTACCTTCTTTGTTTGGATTGTAGATTATACTGGAGGCTTCTAAATGCTGCTGCACTATACACATAAAACAGCAAAGGGAAGTTAAGAGCTCTAGGAATCATAAAATACAGCACGGAGCAGTTGCTTTATGACAAGTGAGTGATAAAATGTAGTTCCTTCCTGAGACTGAGATAGGTGACTGCTAAAGTACATCAGAAAGATACCTGCTGCAACCAGTCAACTCTTCTGGTGGGAAGTAGCAAGTCAAGGCCAAGTATCACAGCAGCCTGGGTGCAGCATGCTTTAGGACATGCCTCCTCCATGCACTCACGCCCTGTTAGAAACAGAGCAGCATCAGCCAGCAGGTCTGCATCATCTGGTCCAGCCACTTGTGAAGATGCCACCCGAGAGGCTTGCAGGCCATTAGTGTGGTTAATAATGGCCAGATGACCTGTGCCTAGTGCTCTTTGCATGTGACCGTCTTCTGGGGACACCGATACACTGCAACTCCCACAGATCTGTCTGTCTCTAGTGCATCCTTAGATGCGAGTCTGACTGCCTTTGCTGCACTTCAGCTGGTACTGCAGGCCAGTGCTTCTAGCCCAGATCTTCATTCTGAAGCCACAGACTTCGACTGCATTAGAGTAGTTCTCTACTTGGATCCTTGTCTGTCCGTGTCACAGATATTAAATATGACTTTGAGAGAGCTGACAGCAGCAGTGCCTGCTAAATAAAGTGTTTTCCAAACCAAGCATTGTTTGCTTGTTCCATAAAAACAGAAAGCGTGAAGAGGCAAAAAATCAAAAAGAATCAAAGGGCCGTAACGCGCAGACATTTAATTGTAGGTGGCTAGTCTACCTCTGAGCCCACTTGACCTTTTGCTGCCAGAGAAGGACACTGCTGCTCATGCTCTTCTCGCTGCACCTCCCTGTGGGGTGGCTGGCAGTCAGTTGGATTTTGCTGCTTCCCCAAAGCACTGACAGCAGAGGGAGGCACAAGCGCTGCCCAGAACAGGCTGAGGCTGTTCACGCAGTTTATTAAGTTTTAATGCTGACTTTGATCTCGTTTTGCTTAGTACTGGTGAAATAGCTGCGTCTCTAGCAATAGATCACTTGCTCAGGAAAATCAAATCAGCTGTTTTGGGGCTCTTTTCCCAAGCTGTTATTTCTCTTGTCCTGTCAGCTCCACCCAGATCACCTCTTGACTGAACTCCAAAGCAAGTAATTGATCCCAAAGTTTCCATTTCTTCTAAAGAAGTAATGGCAGCACTTTAATTTCTTAATTAACAGATCATAATTAGTAGTGCTACGGAGCAGTGAAGGCCAGATGTGAAGTGAACCTCAGATGAATATAAAGAGACTTTTTTTTAGCAAGCCCGTCCTCTTTATGAGTACGTTCTCATTTTTAAAAAGTGAAAGTTTAAAGGGACTTGGGATCTTTTTCTTGTTTTGTTAATTAATATATATCACATCCTCTGCAACTAGAAGGTCGTTGCTAATAGCAATGTGCTGCTCTAGCAGGAAATGAAATGTTAACCGAAAGCAGTATCATTGGTTCCTAATTATTGCCTGTGGGCACATTAAACAGGTGTTCAGCCATTTCATAGCATAAAAAGGAAAATACTGGAAACTTTTCATTTCTGTTAGTACTACCTTATAGGTCCCTAACCTGTTTGAAAAGATGAGTCCAGTTGTATGGTAATCTGAAGTTTGGTTCCAATTTATGAGAAAATATGTGAAGTTGTGAATTTGAGGCTATTACTTGATGTAAATGTAGTGTGGCATTTTATTTCGCTACTAGCAACAACACTGTACTGTGAAAATGTGTTCTGGTTAAAAAATGAGGTTTTGTGACATGTGGACCTCTTGCTTGCTCAGTAGAAGATATGCCATAATGTCTTCCACTTCATTAA